ACTTTCAAGTTCCCAAAAGGGAATTTGTGATGTTGAAAGGTACATCCTCTGCATACATCTGGTGGGATATTGATTTTTCTCTTTATAGACTTTTTACTAGTCACAGCACCTGTTCCACTAACTAGTATTACAGTTGCTCTTAAGAAGTGATTATGTTAATTAAACAATAAAAAAAGACAATAAAGTTGCTAGGAACACTAAGATAAAGATTGGCTGGCACTAATTTAACAATTGTGGGGCCAGCCAGCACAGGCAAGGTCATATGGTGTCAAGCCCAAAAGAGCAATATCTTGTCAGAAAACTAGAGGCTGGTGTGAGGGCAGGGCAGGAGCTAGCTGAGGAAACACTTATTTGGAGGATGGGGTAGGAAGGAGTCCAGGAATCTAGCACAGGAGGATTTCCCTAAATTCCAAGTGTTGCACATGAGACAAGTGTGCAAGTCACAGCTTGGGCTTCCCAGTATATAAGTTTTGTTTAAGAAATTTGGAAGCTTGTTTGATTTCCATGTAGCAGATCTCTGGGAAAGCTGTCTTTTTCTTTCTTTTTTTTTTTTTTTTAAGGGCTGTCACTTGGATTCTGCTGGCAATTATACTAACATCTTTAAGAGGTTCCCACCAAAGTTGATTTTTCCTTAGGAAGTTGCCACCATGGTTGATTTTCCTTTGAGATTTCTCTGTGCTTTACTGACTCTAGCTTGTGTGTCAGTGACAGATTTGAAGCAAGAAATTCTGAGATTTGTCTTCTGCACACTCCATGCCCATTGTCCCCAGCTCTGACCTTTACATCCTGGAAACACCCTACAGGTTTGTCACAGAGCTCTCAGGGGATTTGGAAATCAAATTATAAAGCACTAAGGAAGAACACAGAAAACTATAAAAACACTTCAGTCATTAGGAGCAAAGTGGCAGCAAGCAGTGTTAGAATATGAATCCCTCCAATTAATTTTCCTTTCAGAGCACTTTTTGTAACATTTTAAATTCTAAGTTTGTATGACTTCTTTGACAACATTAGTTGTGTCTTCCAAAAGAAAAAAAAAACCTTTGATAAACCTTCTGAGTCTCTTGAATAAACAATGATAGTGCTCTGATTTTTTTAAATCCTCATAACTGGGAAAGGTGATAGTACATTTGCAAAAAGTTTGTGGCTTACATTAATAGTTGTTAAGGTTATAAAATGAGATGCTTTTCAGAAGCTCAAGTAATAAGCAGAAGCAAAACATAAGCTCTCTGTACAGTGAATATAAATAATTCTTTCTGTGGCTCCAAGTATTTCTTACAATCTTATTATGGAAAGTGTTAAACTGAAAATCATATTGCTCCTTTTAAAAGCATATTTTCGTCTGTTTATCCGTACAAAACAGACCAAAATGTAAATCTGTAAAATGCTTTCCATCTTCAAAGCAGCTCTTTATATTCATCTAAATTCTGAAGTCTTTTTGAAACTTTCATTTTTATTTCTGATTTTGAGATTCAGTGTCACTTAGCACATTGAGTGCTGATGGCTTTGAACATACAGTATGGCACAAAGTGATAACTTGTGCCCGCTACCCTGCTGACAGGCAATTCTGAAGGAAAAGTGGTTTTTATGCTGGAGTTTTGGCCGATTTTAGAATTAGGGGAAATATTAAAGAGCATAACAAAATACTTTAATTCCTCTATACACCACTAAATTGCTTGTTGCCTTATTTGTCCAATTAACACCAGACGTTGCTTTCTGAAACTATTTTTCACTAGAATTACTAAACCCACTAAGTTCTAATGCAGGTGGCAGATAGGTTTTACAGTAAATAATGGTATTCTTGACTGGGTCTGTGCACACTTACAAAAGCATATGTAAAAGGGGAAGAATATTTGAATTATATATGAGAAATGGGCTCCCTATAATCTATCATGTCATAAGGTAGAAGGCAAAACACTGGATTTCTGGCAAAACCTGGGTGAACCTGAAAAAATGCTGTACTTCAAGGTATTTCTACTGGAATAACTGGATTACCTGTAGTTACCATAAAACCTGATGCTAAATCTGAGTGTAGCATATTCCCTTAAGCAGGACAAGTAGATGCAATGCTTTGAATTGGAAATGAAAGTTGTATTGGTGGTACTTGAAAGTATCAGTAGGACTGTGCAAAGCATATTTTCTTGATAATGTATTTTCCTGTATTTTCTAACACCTATTTTTTAAGGTCTCTCTTGTTCTGACTGCTGGGTGATACCTGGTATCTCGCTGCTCTCTTGTCCTTGGAATGTGTCTTGCAGGTAGGCAGTGTATCATCCCAGATTCTTACAGGGCATTCAGCCTTATTAGATTACCCAAATTACTACAGGTCACAGCTGAGATGCATTAGAGGAATTTAATAGGAAAGCTCACCTCTGCTGTTCCTATGGCTTCTTATTGCTTTCATAAGAAGTGAGGGAGATTATTGAAAGACATATTTATAAAATAGCCAGTGCAGTGCAGCTACACTCCAGGTTTATGCCAAATTAGGTGTTGAACCTGAATGAATTCGGGCATCTGCTGCAGTGCAGATTACAGGTCACCCTGTGACCTCACACTGGTAGTTTGGCCTCCTCCTGCTTTGTTTAATCTATCTACAAAATTGAGAAAAACAAGGACCTCCATGAAGAAACAGGTATGCATCTGGGTACAACTGCCCTGGGTAAATAAATTATAAAGAAGGCAGAGGCTCAGCTAAAGGAATAATAAAGGCAATATAAGGGAAGGAAATATCGGTCACTTTGTCTCCTATGCACATTTATCATTAACTTAGTGGTGTGTGGTGTGTTTAGTCTCACTGGACTTGCAGCAGAACAGATCTGGGGTCATTGTCTTTCCCTGCAATTCAGTGTATGAGAAGCACTATGTGGTTAGGTTTATTGGAGGGAACATAGGCACAGGCTGTAGTGACTTGTGAATGAATCAATAAAGCATGTTCCTGTAGGTTTCTGAATTGTCTCTTTCATTAAGAATGGAATTGGACAGCAGAAGATTGATTTCTGAGGCAAATCAGAGGGGGTTTTTTAGACCTTAGTTGAAACTGTGGGTTTTTGAAGTAAGAAAGCGCCATCAAAAATATTATACAGGATTGAAACTGCAAAAAAGATCATAGATAGTTTAAATTTCCTTTTTCAGAAGATCTTTTTAAACTCAGAATTACATGAGACCTGATCTTAAGCAATGCCCAGAGCTGACTAAATGAGTGGCAAACTGCTGAGGTCCCACAGCTGAGGATCATGGCTTGCAGAGTACTGGACATAGTGTTAGTTAAAAGATACTTGGAAGGGCAAACATTCACAAAGAAATGTTACTGCTAAGGTTATAACTGAGATTTGTGTTGCTTACAACTGCTCTTGACAATGAAGTGTGCTGTGTGATGATTATCCAGGTATGGAACAATCTTAAGTTTTGGCAGAGAGCTGTTTGATTCTGCTTATTTTTGCAGCATCACCATATGGCTGTGAAATTCTGAGGAAACACCTTTACAGATGTGGTTTGTCTAAAACTTCGTTTCCTGCATGGCACATCCAGGCTTACTTGAGTGTGGTAGTGCACCTTGACAGTGTTGTTTTAGGGCAGTATAATTTGCTTGTAGATAACAGTGTCCATCTTGGGGGCAGGGCTTTTAGTGCACATATGTGCCTTTATAGCATCTTGAATCAGTTTTACTTTCATGGACAGAAAAGGGCAGTGCTGTATATGCATTTCTTAAGTTTTAATAGGCTCATCAAGGCAAAATTTGTATTTCCAAATCCTCAGGGAAATGGAGAAACATGGATGAGCCACAGTGCTGAGTCTAGACAAAAATTAGCTGAATCTAAATCAAGAGCAGCATCAACAGTAATACTTAGAAGCACAGAGCTTTATTAAGAATTGATAATTTGCCAGGCATTGCTTTCCACATAAGCAATGTTGTTGTAAGATGTTGTAAGATGTTGGCTATCAACATGGAATATGTTGCTAGATATTCCAAAACGAGTTTAAACCAACTAATTTATCACAAGATATGTCATCACCTGTTACATCAACTTAGCTCTAGCTTGCATATGCATACCTGCAGAGGATAATGGTGTTTTCTAGTAATTCTCTTGAGAGGCAGTTACATTATTTTTCTAGTAATTGTTATGTAATAATTACAAGCTACCTACATGTAAAGGGTTTATGAATTATTCTCTGTTTGGTGCAAACCTGAATCTCGATTCTGTCCTTTTGCCTCCGCGCTGGGGTCTTGTGTAGACATCCTCCCCAGCTGACTGTAGAAGCATGTTTATACCTGAAGGGTGCCCATAAATGCTACACATACAGAATTAAAATGTTTCTGTTGTGGTGCAGTGATAGATGCTGGTGATACAGGGCCCTAGTGGGGATTTCTAGTTCAATTTTCTGTTATACAATCACAATTTGTGATACTATTTTTGCATTGTTGTGTCACAATCAGGGACTTACTAAAAATGGGCAAACTCTGCAGGATCTAGAGGCCTGGGTAAGATACCCAAAGTCTCTAGTAGTTTTTCAGAGCTTAATGAGAGGTGAAGCTTTCTTTTCTCTCAGTGTTTTCAGGCATAAATCTTTCCCTTTTCAGTGGTGTATCAATTTTTGCAGACTGCCTTATCACCTGGGAGTAGGAGGAAGTGAGCTGGAGGTATGTGCTTTCTGTCTAGAACAGATGTTCATCCCAACATTCTTGGTTGGGATGAACATCAGCAGAAGTTACTAAGGAGTTTTCCCAGGCAGGGTTTTAATATGGTCTTTGATGTCTGGAGGAGAATTCAGCCTCACCCATGTGGGTTTCTCTGAAGTCATTATTAATGGAATAGCCACAGTGAAGAGTCTGTCCCACTGGAGAGTAAGAAAGGAATAAGAGACTGATCTTTACTCATTGTCTTGTTTACAGAAGGGGTTGTACAGCACTCACTGGCTACAGCCTGATAGCTGTCACTCTGGGGGACTATTTTTGTGCTCACTAAAGATGAATTAGTGTACATTATTTATCTTGATTTTCACAGGATCCATTGCAAAGCACATCTAGAAAAGGAAGATCTTTATTCTTACTCATGAGAAAGATCTGTCAAGTTGGTGAGTGGTCTCATTGACTGAGAGCAGTGAAACTGCTCTCTGTGGTGGAAGATTTTTAAAAAGAGAGGTGAGTGGCATTTGTTTTCAAAGTTTGACTGTGGTTACATGGCAGAAAATGTGAAATACGGTGAGTTGCCCAAAAATTAGAACCTTCCCTCAGAGGTGTGGGAAGGTGCTCTCTGTGTTAAACTAGTCATCATTTCCCCGTGAGTGTTCCCAAAAAGAAGTGTATTTGGTCTGCTCAGGAAGAAGAGAGATGTCCTTGATTCTGAATTTTGAGGAATCCTTCATGGTAAAGAGGATAGAGCATAAGCATGCAATGACTTTCACATTTCTGAGTGGTGGAACTGCTCATAGTTTGATGAGTCCAGCTCATTCAGGCCGTGGTGTATCAGCATCCCTGGGACCAAAACATGGGCTGCCAAAGCGCTGTGTGGAGGGAAAGACAAGTCAGTGAGTGGGAGTGACAGCCTGACAAGTTCAGTTGAGAAGTAGGGCAATAAATGTGTGGAGTAATAAATACTAGTGTAAGCCACTGAGATGATGGATTTTCCATTTACATATTAACACTGGAAGCATTTCAATAGGATGTGTTTTACTCAAACAGGAGTTGTGGGGATTGATGCAGAAGTAACTGAGTGAAAATCTCATATAAGAGATTAGACCAGAATGTCTGATCTTATTAAAATTTTAAATGTTAAACTGTAATCTCTTTATGTTAGATTTGAATGGCACTTCTTGGTGGACTCCTCAATATCCCAAGTGGCATTGAGGTTTCCATGGGATTGTAATTTTGCACAAGCCCATGCTGAATGCCTGAGGACACTTGGCCTTATAACCTTTGCTTGGGTAATACAGACAGCCAGAGTGGACCCAAGCATCTAAAAAAAGACAAATGTGTTGTGGATGAAAAGGAAAGGAGAGTCAGTGAATATTAAAAAATATCAGACATTCATAGAAGGATAATACTGTCCTTCGGTTCAAGTTCCACAGATGGGTATTTAAAGCCCTCATGTAAATCTGATGAAGTGAGGGGCTGAGGCAGTTCTCCTGACTTCAGTGGGATCATTTGAAAGAACAGGGTTAAGTGATTCTTAGTGGACTGGGACAGAGAAGAATACTGACAACATGGTTATCTTTTGCATCTAGGGCTCTTTTTCAATCTCTGGTAAAATTTGAACCATAATGGAAAGTACATAGTTGGAAATTGAAGAAATAAAAAGATCCAGAATTAAAATTCTGACTCTTGAGGCATAGCAGAGGAAGGGGAATACATATAAGCCTAAGAAGTGCATATGGAAGTAGCCCCCAGTTAGTGATATTCATCACTATTTAGGGATAACAATCACTGTGGAACCATAGGGGGGAATAGGAGTAGGGTCTTTACTGACATTTGCCAGGCTGAAATAATGCCACTTCTCTCTGCAAAGAAGTAGTTGCCAAAGCTTGGTTTTTGGGCTGATATTTTGTTAGAACACCTAACTAGCAATGTTGAACTACACTATTTTAATGTTCATAGGCAGATGTTATATTAATTTTTAAAAAATATTTATTTTTATTTTTCTGTGTAGAAAAATAATTAATTTCAATTGCAGAGGTCATGCTAAAGTGAAAAATTAAGCATTTATCCAAGCCAAAATTCTTTTTCTCATTTCATTTTGTGGGAACATTGAGTCCCTTAGGCATTTACAGTGTTTGGAAATGACTGTCTTACATGGAACTCTGTGTCATATCTCAGCTCAGATTCACAGGTTGGTATGGGTCATAATTATCATAAGAATTAGCTGAAGACCATAGCAATTAACTATTTTTATGGCTTATTATCATATTCTAAATACTAAATTGTTCTGTCAAATAGTCTGAGAGATTTGATAGCTGACCCACAGACAGTGCACTGCCTTTGCTTACATACTTAAGCTACAAGTATTTCTAGGAAGATATAGCTTATTAATTCATTATTAAGATATAGCTTATTAATTCATTATTATTTTATTGATGTTCAATTGATGTCTGATTAAATATAAATTAGACACTTGGTAATAATAATGTAATAGGATGAGGCAGGTGAGATTCCCTCAGGATAGTTTGTAATGAAGCTTCAAGTTTTTAATAATCTTAAACTCATAAATAAATTATTACATGTGAAATAAATGCAAAAATTCTGAAATAAGCTATAAAAATGTTAAGTGGTGGTGAAGAGACACATAATCTGCTGGGAGATCTGTGTGAGAATGTGCATTTGGCACTAAGTCACATCGCTCAGAATCGGCGCTCCTCTCTCCTTTCAACCATTTCATATTTAGGTGTGTAGCTACCCCTCCTATCCCATTATTATGCTGCACCATCCTGTTGCCAGACATTTTGCTTTGCCTGGGAACAGTGTTAATTTAATGCACTCAGGTGACCCCAGAGGCACTGGAATGACACGGCAGCAGCAGCCCAGAGTGCTGCAGTGATTCCTGCTGCTCGCAGAGCTGCCGGGAGAGCGGGCGCTCTTCTGGACAGTTCTCTGTGAACTCTTCAGGGAAAAGTCAGGGGAGCTGTCTCTTTGACCATACTGTCAGTGCTGAGAAGGACACATCCTCTCACTTAGCTGAATCTTTCATCTTTTCCTTGGAAGACAGATTTTCCAGGTGTTCCTCTGTTTTTCTTGAAGAGTTAGCAAGGAGACCATGTCTCCCTTAGATAAGAAAAGAGAGAAAGGAGAACTTACCCTTATGTAAGAAAACAAGAAAGCAGACAAGGACAGGATTCTGATAGTGTATTTGCTTCTTTTTTTTTTTTTTTGGGGGGGGGGGGGGGGGGAGGGGGGTGTTGGGTCCCAAATATCCTGCAAAGGTTTCAAGAGATCCAAACCCTCCAGTTTCTTCAGTAAAACCAGCACCATTATCCCAGCCTTGAAAGACAGAGTGAGATCCCAAGGCAATATTCAGTGTCTGCGTTTTAGACTCACCATAGTGGGATTTGCAGAAACTCAGCACATTGAAAAAGCTCCTGGTAATTTGAAGAGTTAAGTCATGCAGCAGGTTAGTAAATGTAAAGAAGCTTAGTTCCTAAGATTAATTTTGCAGTATTTCCATCAGTGGAAGTAAGGGATAAATAAAAGTCTGAAAATCTGGCCCTGTGACTATAGTCACTGGTTTAGACTTTCACCTAAAATTATATTCAAAGAATCTGATGGTTATTAAATGGCCAAAAGGTTACAAACTAGAAATTTGGCTCAATACAAGGTACAGAAAAAGACAAGTATGCTGCTTTTCAGATGTGAGAGAACTTGGTTGCTAGGAGGAAAGTATTCAAGTGTTTGCTTATGTTTTCCTGGGGTGTTAACAGTGTGGGATAAACAGATAACACCACACCTCTTAAATAACATTTTCTTAAATAGTGAAACTATTCCCTAATGAAGAAATTGCAGTAATCATATTCTGTAAAAATAGGGAGTTATGGCATCTATGTAATTAAAGTGCTGAATTTTTTCAAACAAAAGTCTGCCGGCAAATATATTTTTGCATATTTGTGTAATTGGAGATTGTCAAATCAAATTCTTGTTGAAACACAGAAAATTGTTGTCTCTCCATAACAGGGTAAGGAGAGAGGAGTCACATGTGTGATTTGCAGCATCCATAGCAAAATGATGTTCTGTTTGGTAGCTATGGTTATTCCTGTGCATCTGCCAGGAGGCCCATGGGTACAGAAAACACATCCAGCTTAAATCATTCTTCACTTTTTCCATGATGTACTAGGCCAGCATGGTCTGGTGGAACTGTTTGCCAGTTCCTGTCCATACACTTGCTGACACTTCTCTGGGGAGCCACATTAAGCAATTGTTTGGGTCACCAGATGTCTGTGCCTCCTCCTCCATGTGACAGCGAAGGCTGGGCTGGGGAAAAGGTCCTGCCCTGCTCTTGATGTTGTTTGCACACTGCCCAGATTTCTTGTGACTTGTGTTACTGCGGAAAAAAGCCCTTTCCAGGCTCTGCTTGCTGCCTTGGATATAGGAGTGCTGTTAGAGATGAATGACTGCTTTGCAAGATCCCTGCTGCTTTCTCATGCAGGAATTAGAGAAGTCTCAAGGCTAGTTTCACACTTGGGGCTCTTCTTTTTTGCCATTTTGTTGTCCTGCAAGAAAATAAGATAAAAATTACTTCAAGCACAGCACCTTCTGCTTCAACTTTGATGCAAAGGCCTTATAATTGAGAGAATTTACCTGTGTAAGAACTGAAATATTAAAAAGGCATTAAACAGGCATTCAAGCTGTTTGGAGCCCAACGTCCCTCTGCTGTGTGTACATAAAGCTCAGCTCAGGGAATGTAGCAAAAATTCTGCAACCTCCAGAGAAACCTACAAATGTGTTGTTCTGTATTTGCCCTTGTCTCCCTTTAAAAGGCTCCCATTGCTGCACATCTTTACTCAAAGTTACCTCTGGTGAGGCAGAGGATAACATTTCTAGTAATTGATAATCAAAAGGAAAGAGGAAACAAAGGAAAAGGCCAATAATGCAAGACAATTATTAAGTGCCAAATATAATTTGTCAAAGGAGTTCCTTCTAAATTGGATGAAGGCAGCATTTTTTCAGATCAATACTGCCTCAGTGAGTCCAGTACAGTTCTGGTAGCTTTTGGCTAACAAAGAGGAACTGATATGTCCTAGGTGTAAATATTAAGACCAAAGAACTTAGTGGATTAATAGACCTTGACTGTGGTCAGGTATTGCTGTAAAACTGGGATTGGCAATGTGCAAGGCTTGAAGCTGGCACAAATCACATCCATGGCCTGATTAGCTATGAGCCAGCCTCGTAGATCAGCACATCCAGAAGTTCAAAGCTCCACAGCAAGCTAAGCTCAGTAGTAAATATTACCAAGGAGTACATGCCCTGGTTCTGGTTTCACTTATTGGGAAAACATGTATTGAATTCATTCAGAGTTTGAACTGCCTACCAGACAAAGTGCATTAAGTATTTGAGCCAGCTGTTGCCCATCTTTATCCACATATGTTACCCAGCTTGACACATTTAATTACCAATATAAGTTGTTCTTCCTGTGACTTAGTATTATACTATATTCTTACCCAGTGTTACTTTGGGTCAAATACTGTGTTTTATTTCAAAATACATAGTGGGAATAGAGAAGCAGGTGTCATACAACAGAGGAGTAACCTCATAACAGGAAATGGTTTCAACTAAAGTTTCAGAGGGGGAATGATATTCTGAGTATTTCACAGACCAGAACACCCTGATAGCCTGCTGACAGAGGCTTAGCTGGTGTTCATCAGCCCTTACTGTGCCACAAGAGCCCTTGGCTCTGGCAGCAGAATTCTACATCTGTAGGAACAAAGCCCTAGACAAAGTCTAAGGAAACCACAAAAACTTGTGCTGAGTCCCAAGAAACAGTGTTTGCACTAGAACTTGGGCATCCTAATTCACAGCCAGCACAGCTTACTAGAGACCAGACCCAGGTGGCACTCTGGTATCCCCTGGGAGAAAGGAGTCATCTGTATGTGTGCACACCTACAAACCTCTGCATCTGGCAGCCTCACCTTCCTGAAGACAGCTCTGCAGCAGGAAGGAGCATCACAGCTGCATTTTTCATCAGGAGAATATGCTAATTTTTGCTGCAACAACTGTATATTACCTGGCAATTATTCTCTCCAGTCTCTTGGGTTCGCTTTATCTGTGGTTGTGTTTAGAATCCCCAAATGATTATGTCATAGTTAGAAGACACCTGATAATAGAAAGGCCCTTTCTATTTTTTCTAAAGCTGTATTAATATAATTTCTTAGGTGTCGTCGTGTCTTTCTCAACGTCAATCCATTGTGAATCATGCAGACACATCAGGGAAAGAACAGAGCCTGCTGCAGCCTGTGAGCAACAAGACATTTCAGCTGGACCACTGCATAAGGGCTTTGCAAGACCGCCAGTATTTTTTTATATTCAGAGTTAAATAGAGCAATAAGATGGAATTTCAGCTTTAGTGCAATGGATTGCAGCTCTTCAGTCAATCAAATTATAGTTCAATCAGTTCATTTTAATCACTTCTCTGGAGAGAAGTAAACCCCTATGTTGAAGAATATGCAGCAATTTTATTGATGGAAAGTTTAATTGTTTCATTTTTCCTTACCGTCTGTAACATACTAGACTTTTAATCAGTGGGAACTGAAGTTATAATGAAGTAAAGTCCACTTTCCACAGTTCACAACTAGCTGAAAATAATTGGGTTGAGACTCCCATCCAGACAGTGTAATGCCTCTGGCATTTTCCTGAAAACTACACTTAATTGCTTTGCTGATGTTGTTAAGTGGTCCTAAGGGGGATGAAGTAGTAAAGCTGCTCACATATGCAGGGAAACAATACACAAAAAATGTCTTACAAGGTCCTTAAAGGAGGACCAACTAGTGACTAGAAGACAATATATTGCACTTTTCCCCCTCTTTTGGGAAAAGTGCAATATATTATACCAGAGAGAACACACAGGAGAGGCTGATAAAATAAACTGGAAATTCTATAAACACTATTTTTATTTAAGGGTAGTAAGCTTGGGAGCCAAAATACAGAAAACGTCAAGGCTCTTGCAATCAAACCTGCATCTTTAGGCTAGCCCAAGTTGCTTGGCATTTTTATGCTGAACACTGGTGAGCTGCTGCCTGTCTTCAGCACCTTGGCCTGAGGAACAGATATACTCTTGTCCTCAGGGAGGGAGGACAGCTTGCTCTCTGTTCTCTAAAGTGACAGGATGTGAGCCAGGCATGAGCTGAGAGCCTTGTCCAGACATCAGTGGGACCAGCACATGTACCCTGTTAGGCTCTAAATGTAGCCAGACAAAGAATAACACTTTGTCACATTTCCTTATTTACTGCATTCTTAGGAGACCCTCCATGATTGTATGGCATTTGTTTAAAATGACGAATTAACTGATAGTCTCAAGGATATTCTGATGAAGAAATGCATTAGCTCTTTAATGGAGAAAAATATTTATTTAAGCTACTGCCCACTGAAATCAGTGTTAGAGCTGGAGCTGTTTTGTGGAGAACTATAGAGCTAATTTAGATTTTTTTAAGTGAAGGGCTTTTGTTGGGTTTTTTTTTGGTCTCTGTTTATTTAGATATGTGGGCACAGTAAAGTCTCTCTCAACAACCTGAACTTCCTCAGCTGCTATTTGTGTAAACTTCAGGATGACCTTTGCTTATTCTGTTCTTGCTTTTACAGGCTCTGAACTGAACAACTACCCCAACAACTACTGATGATTGTCTAGAAAGGAACATAGGCAAAATTGAGACATGAGGTTCTAAGCTAAAATCTTAAAAGTTCCCTTAACCCTACATCTGACCCCAGGTGCCTTTGAGAGTCTCTGAATTGACACCTCAAATTTTGGCCAGCATATCTCTCCCAGCACCTAAAATTATGCTTTTTCCACTAAAATAGGCTGAAGTCTAGACAGGACTCAAGTACCTTGACATGTTAGGCTGACCATTCCCCCCTAATATTAATAAACTTTAACATGTATTTCTCTTCTTGTGAAATAATCACCTCCCATGTGCTGGAACCACCAATCATCTGCCAAGGAGATCAGCCCTCAGTGAGAAAGTGCCCTGTGTCCAATTCACTCTGCTTGCCTGTCTCTGGGAGAACAGCTCAGCAGCAGCAGTGCTTGGGCTCTGCTATTCCTGGGCTTTGTTTTGCCATGAGTAACATGAATGGTTTGGAATGGTTTTAGCAAATGCACCAAATGAGGACTGTGTTGTGACAACTGATGGGAGACGGTGCTTGGGTTTCGTATTCTCAGAGATGCTGAAGGACTGGAGGAACCAGGGCAAATGTACAGTGCAGAGGGCAAATAACCAACCTAGTGTGGCTGGCTGAAATTTGCCTGTCTTGTCTGGCTGGTTTAGAGGGTACCCTGCCACAACCCTTCTTTTGGGGACAGAGTTCTCCCTGGAGCTGTAATGCAGTCCCGTACAACTGCCAGCCGGCCTTTATTGCCAAGCAGAGCTGCTTGCTGGGGTTCACATACTTGAAAGTCTTAGCCTGGGTCTCAGTGGAAACAAGGAGGAGAATGATTTGACACACATTCCCCTGATTTGACATACTGTGTGGTTACAACATGGTGTGTCCTCCACAAGAAATCCAAAATATGTGTTGCTGTGCAGGCACAAATCCGACTGTTCCTGATAAACTGTTCATGTGGAAGGATACAATTTGCATGGTTGTCATCAAAGCCAGTGTATGTATTCATTTGTGGAAGCATGTCAGACACCATATGTCACTAATATGCCTTTGATATGATGGTGTCTGAATCATTTTTTTAACTGCTGAATGGCATATGTTTAAATGTAAGCATCTGTTCTGTGTCTGTACTGTCTGTATTATTTATTATTTATTTCTTATTTTCTTTTGACTAAAAGTTTGATTTAAACCTAGAAGAAGTGTGGGATTCATCTTATTTTTAAAGAAGTAGAGTTTTAGTAGTATTTCAGAATGTGGCCAATGTGTATCTTTTCACAGACAAGATGGTAATTTAAAAGAGAATTTTTTCCCTTTTCAGTAATCAGAAAAAAAAAAAAGTTCTCAGGCCAAAGAAATATTAGATTTGAGTACAAGTTGGTTAAATGAAAAAAATATTGCAGTTTCTGCAGTGTATGGATTTGCTGAAAAGAAGTCCTTGTAAGAGCCATATGTTACACCATGGTGACAGTAAATTGGTTCTACCCAGAAACTTTTCTGATTCTGTTAAAGAACTTGTTATATAATAAATGACTTAATAAAGGAATGAAATAATACACTATGTTTGTTAGGCTATTCATTATACAAGGAGTAAACTCAAAACCAGTGCCACAACAAAGGGACTCAAAAGTAGTTATTGCAACTCATCAATCAACTGAGCCACTGCAGCACCCTTCAGGAGGCTACAGCCAGCCTAAAAGGCATGGTCTGGGCAAAAGCAGGGAATGACACTTTACCATGGTAGGAAAACAAGAAGAGACTTTACGAGCCAACTGCGGATACCTGAAGAGCCCAGACAAGAATGTCCAGTGCTCAGGTACAGGAAGGGCTTATGAACCATTGCGGAGGGAGCAGCTGCGCTGGGCTCACCAGTGTGGTGGCAGAAGAATCCCATAAAGAAGCAGCCACAGTGGCACATGGTGGCAGGAAGAAGCCTGTAAAGAAGCAGCTGCGGTGGCACATGGTGGCAGGAAGAGGCTCCTAAAGAAGCACCCATGGTGGCAGAAAGAGACTCATAAAGAAGCAGCCACAGTGGCACATGGTGGCAGGAAAAGGCCCATAAAGAAGCAGCCATGGTGGCACACTGTGAATTGCAGAGCTACAAGTACCCACTCAGTGACCCCTGCAGCCGAGCTCTGTGAGTGTCCCATGGCTGTGATGTTCTGCCTTTTGGTAAGAATAACAAATGTCAGCTTTTGGTGGACTTAGGCAGCCTGGGCTTCATATTCTGTTTGTAAAGTTTGGCTCAGGCCTTTAACAGACCAACAGCCATTGCATATAACATTGGAAAATCAAATCTGCCAAAATCCAAAAGCTTTATGTCACTGTCACGGAGTCATAGCATTTCACAGCCACAGCTTAAAACAAACCACATCAAAACACACCACGAACAGCTGAGTGCAGCCGGTTTGTAGCAGGCCCTGAGCAGCCCAGGGCGCACCTGCGGCCATGGCACAGCCCTGCCCGGGCGGCGAGGGGCCTGGGAATCAGTCAGTGCCATCTTGTGGCATTTCAGGATATTGAAACGCCCCTGAGCTACAGTAACTGCAAGTGTCCTTGGAATCCACCACAATTCCAAGAATTGCGATGGTACGGCATACAAAGCCCGTACAGCTACAATTGCTTGGCCATAGCTGCTGCGGCTGTGCGTGGAGAGGCTCAGCACCTGAATGATTAATGAGGCAAACGCCTACCAATTATGGCTCATTGGAGGGGCACAGATTAATGCCTGTAATTAGAAATCCCGGCAACAGATGGAGAATTTTGCAGTATCAAAAGCCTGCTCCTTATTAGCCGTGCCCTGCGCTGGGCAAGTGGAGACCAGGCCGTGGTCTGCCCTGCACAGCTCCGTCCTGGGACAGAGCCGGCAGCCGGCCAGGGGCTGCTCCAGGGACGCCGCCCGGGGCTGAGGGTGGGTCCCGCAGCTCCCGGGGCTCTGGCTGGGTCCCGCAGCCCCCGGGGCTGAGTTTGGGTCCTGCAGCTCCCGGGGTTGTGGGTGGGTCCCGCAGCCAGCGGGGCTCTGGCGGGGTCCCGCATCCCCCGGGGCTGAGGCTGGGTCCCGCAGCCCCCGGGGCTGAGGGTGGGTCCCGCAGCCCCCGGGGCTGAGGGTGGGTCCCGCAGCCCCCGGGGCTGAGGCTGGGTCCCGCAGCCCCCGGGGCTGAGGGTGGGTCCCGCAGCCCCCGGGGCTGAGTTTGGGTCCCGCAGCTCCCGGGGCTCTGGCGGGGTCCCGCAGCTCCCGGGGCATGGCTGAGCTGGGCTGAGCGCCCCTGGGCAGCCCCCATCGCCCGCCCACCGGCGGCCCTGCGAGCAGCACGGGTTGATGCACAGGGGTGGCTGCTGCTGCTGCTGCATCAAACCCTTCCCTCCAGATCCCCAACACTCATTCCTGGGACACCAGCCTGAGCCTGGGACACAGCAGCCGCTGCTGTTATTGACTCAGTTAAAAACATTTTAGAAAAGTATTCCTAACGTCTATCCTACTCTCCCCACCCACTTAAATATGTGGAAAGGGCCCATAAGCCTTCATATTATCATTTTGGAAATATGCTAACCATATAAAATGAGAAAATGTATAATATAATTTGATACACACATAATGTCCTCCTACTCTTTAAAGCAATTTATATACTATAAACACAGAACACATCCACTAGATAAGGTATTAATGTAAGAATAGCTATAAAGGTATATATATAATATGCATATGAATAAATAGTTTGTAGAAGAAAAATACATAGAATAAATAATAAAATTATAATAAATGTGTAAGTAATAGTATATAATTTTCTTTATATTGTCTGTATATATAAATAGAAAATGTGCTGTTTTCCAATAATGGAAAACCTCTTCTGCAGTACCAGAAGAGGACACATACTGTTCCTAGCAGTGTAACATTTATTGCATAAAAAAGAAGGGAATCATAGCAACTTGAACAAGATTAAAACCAGCTCTGAGGCCTGTTTAGTCAGCTGGTGGCCAGGGGAACATCCTTTCTTCACTGCACTGAGGGAAGGTGGGCAGACCCCTGTGTCCCTGGAGGTAACACCATGGTTCACTAACACCTTTAATTCTTCCTTGTCTCATTGCCCACTTTGACACTGGTCAAGCATCCCAGACACTCACACAAAAGGCTTTTTGGGAGTGGTTACAGTGTAGTTACAAACTAAGAGTAATTTCTGCTTTCTACCTACTCCACTTCTACCAAATATTCAGAGATTTTTCTTTTTCTTTCCATGACCCCAGATTTAATTTTTTTAGAAGAAAACACAATGTCAATTTTATCAAATTATCTGAAAATAAAATCACTTTCACATCTTACAGGTTTCATTCAAAGACTTGAGCCTTGATGCTCATTCAGTATAATTTTAGTAAATAGTGGGCTTTTCTTTGAGCTTTGCTGGGAAGTAGTTTCTTGTACAGTTGCCAAATACAATTGTGGTGGGTTTGGTTTAGGGTTTATTGCAGGGCACTGAATCCTGTTATCATCTCTCTTTTTGAGGACAGTAGAAATGCTCTGATTGCAGACAGACAAAAATTTTAGAACTTACAAGGAGTCAGTAAATAGTAAATTGAAAACTAATTTTTTTCCCTCTTAATTTGATCACAAATACAAAAAAAAACCCCTATATGATAAATTCATTGTTCTGAACTGACATTATGGTTCGTTATACATATGACTAATGGGTTCACTCTGACCTGAACAAGACACTTCTTATTTCCCAAACCAGGCAAACTGAGCTTTTATTTTCTATTAGCGTAAGCTGCTTTATTAACAGAAAGTAATCTTCCAAATAGTTTGAAGCCAATATGATTATTATAACATAATGGATTGCAATTGCTTGTTTTCCTAAGATGAAAGAAATAGTATTTCTCACAAGTGTCTCTAATTTTCAAAACTTTATATAGACTTCTGTTGGCTGAACTCTCTCTGTAAATCTATAACACAGACAACTATTTCCTCTCTGTCATGCTGGAAATGAAATATACCTTTTGACCATGATTTTTTTTTCCTCACTTATCCCCTGTCCTGGTAGCAAGCACTGAGTTTTATTTTCTGATAGGCCAGATTTTTTTCTAGTTTTGCACATAAAAATTTCCAATAAGCCATCTTGGAGAGGATGATAGCCTGAATTCCCACTACTTTCTTGTGGTCGAGGTGTCTGTTAAAGCATTATTTTGTTGCTCATCAGAGGGTCTGATGTAGCTGCAGTGTGACTGGAAGGGACTTTCTTCTGATGTAGCCATAAAATATCCCCAGACTCTTTCACTATGTAACTGGGGAATTATGCACCCTGCAACAATCTCAGAAAAAATGGAAGCAGAAAATACTGCAGCTGCCACTGAGAGGTAAAATTTAAATTCAGTTCAAGATTTGAATGTCAGAGATACCTGAACACCAGTGTTCTCAGCATTGCTTTTTCATTTTGAAAAATGTGACACAGAACTCACATTTTGAGAGTTTAGGGATTTCTCATTTTAGGATTTAGGCTCTAGCTTTTGGAGAGACCTTGGTTTGCAACATCCCAAATTATAAGGTGGCCAAACATAGCAATCTGACCTAACTCAACCCAACATATTCTCCCATTTCTTCACCTTACAAAACCATTCACAAAAAGTCCTGTTTTGCCTACAGGATTTGTTACTGCATTATAGCACTGTATATTAGACTGGGCTTCCAAGATAGCCCTTGGAGAGATTGCATTTCTGCTTTGTAATGATTTTGCCATTGGAAAAGTTCATCTAGAAAGATGCCTCAAAAACAGTGAAGCCACCAGGGGAATTCTTCACTTGAAGCATCCATCACTCCTCAGTAGAGGAATTGGAGGGATGTGTTAAGCTTGCTACATCCTTTGTCAATCTTTTGTTTATTACATTATCAAGTTGTTTGCACTGTGAAAGATTAAAACAGTTGGGTGAAAGCAAACCATGGAGTTAGTGAGCACTTTGATTATAATTCAGACATCAAACTGGTATTTGAAGTGCAGAACTACTGAGCTTTTCTTTGTCACAGAAGCAGATGTTGCCGGAGGCAAGGAGGAATGGAGACCTGCATTTTTTAAACTTGGCTGCTGAACTTTGCACTACCTGAAGAACCAGGCACTGTTTGCAGTTCCTGGTTAGATGCCTTTCAAACCTGTCTTCTGCCTAAGGGCTACCAGATGTGCAGCAGAGGCATATGGATAGATTTTCCCATTGTGCATCACCTCAACCTGAGGACGTACTGCTTATTGCTCTAAGTAAATGGTTGGGCTGCTTTTGTAATTTAGGAGTCTGACAATAGTATTTTTTCCTTTTGCTCTACTTTAAGGAGAGTTCTTTCCAGTATGAGAATGAACTATTAATGAGCAAAGATAATATACCTAGGGAGGAAGACTTCATCCTGGATATTTATTTAGAATTTCAACTTGAAAGATCCAACCAGAACCATTTGCCATACATATTATTTCCTGATGACTGTGGTCTGCCACACATGCCTTCTGACAACCTTAAAGATTGGTGAGGATTTGTCCACAGGGGAATCCTTAACTCTGGTGACTTACCCATCTCACTGCCTAGATATCCATTTACTCTGAAGTATCCAAGAAACATCCAGCAAATGATTCTCCATGCACAATGAACTTACTCAGGACCCTGGGCTTCTGGGTAAGTACATTTCTTTCTCTTAGTGTTCAAGTAAATAAATGCTTCCCTCTCTTTTCAAGAGGCCTTAAGTAAACTACAAGGAAATACTATAACACATTTAACAGGTGTAAAATTCATCTACAGGCTTGTGATAGAGAATACCATTGACCATCAGTAGAACCCCACCCACTTCCCTCAAACATCACAAGCTATTACAACATTCCCAACAGATTTTCTTCCTTTACATGCATCATATACATATCACATGTGTATTTGCAAATACCTCCACTGCTGCTGCCTGTCACTCCTTATAGCAGTGTCCAAAACAGCATAGTGGAAAACTGTGTATCTGTGTACCTTACAGAGAGACGAAGGTTTGAACTGCTGAGGTATTCCCCCACATCGCTGCCACAGTCCCACGTCACCATAGATGCTCTGTGTCACTGAGGGAGCAGACAGAGAGGCTGCCACTGGAAAAGGAAAGTGACTTTTGGAGGGTGAACTAATGCAAATGCCACAGTTACAGAAGTGAGAGAGTTCATTTAGTTAATTTTATCCATTTGAGAAGAGAACCTACAGAAGACTAACAACACAACAAGGTGCAGCTCAGAGCAGAAACCCTCCTCTGAACAAATGTGGGCCACAATAATATTTTCTAATTCACAGCTATCTAGTCTCTTTAAAAGCATATTAGTCTATGCCTACTTCCAAAAAAACTGCTATCTTGATAAGATTTTTCTTTATAAAGAAATAAATATTAGACATTGGATTGTATATAGAATTATTTTTTCCCTAGATAGGTTCCTGGTGTCTTTTTGTATTATGTGTAATCATGAGTGACCCCAAGGTCAATTATTAATGAAACCTCACAGAAATCCCTGCTACATAAGGAGAAGCATGAACATCTCAAGGAACAAAGTATTTGACTTCTAAACAGAATGCCTGCCTAAGACCAAACCTCATTAGGGAGGTCCTCCAGGCAAACATCCTCTCATTATTTATTGTCATGGTTTGCTGAAGATTCCTCAGTGTAACTCACAATTGGGTTTTAAATAAATCTCTCTGTATAGTAAATGTGATATTCTTGCATCTAAGCAACAGGGTTAGCTGAAAACTAAATAAGACCAAAATTTCACATTTCAGGGACTCATAAACAGCTTAGAGTCTGACAGCAATGCAACAAGAGGCAAAAATATGACTGACAACATATGGCTGAAAAGCAGGGTCACAGTGGCTGTATAACATAACAAAATAGTGAGACTGCAAAGCAAAAGCAATTAGCTACAAGTTTTGCTAATGTGGTATTATTTATGGTGAAGAATTTCTTTATAGCACAAGGATGGTGCTATGTTTATGATTAACATTTAAGGCATGAAGGCCTTGGATTTAAGGTTTTGCTTCCCATCCTTTATTCTGGCCTCTAGAGGGTCAGTGGGGCCTAGGCTCTCAAACATTTTGAGGCATTCTGATATCCTAGAGGAACTGGTCTAAGACTCCTGGAGTGCAGCTGCTCATCTTGAAATTAAGGCTACTAAAGCTCTTTCTCATAACAGGCACTATGAATGGAAGGGTTCTAAAGACTGGGAATGTTTTATCAAATACTTTTGCTAGAGATCTTTTCAAAGTGGTGAAGGTCTGGTAAGATTTTACAAATCTTATCCCATTCAAGGGTTAATTGATGTTTATGCCTAAAGTGACCATGACTTCCATTTTTAATTCCACTAAACTGCTGAGACCTCTTAAAGAAGTCCAGAACACCTCAGAAATTTCCATCTCTAATCAGAACAGTGTGAAGTTCTCTTCAAGGAGAAAATCCTCTGGTGTGGTCCATTTTTCTGCTGTAGTCAAATAATCTTGGGCTGATTCAGCATCTGGGCTGATGAGCTGGCCCCTGGAAACTCCTGCTTTGGTTGCTCTGGAGGAGGCTGGAGGGGCAGCACAGTGGAAAGTTCCTCTCCTCACAGAGGACATGCACAGGCCACCCTTGCCAGGGCACAGTCTCCTGACTCCCTTGCTTGGCTCAGTGCACTGCCTCTGCTCCTGCCCACAGAATATTCATTCTCTTAAATTTCATATTTATCACTTTCCATAACAAGGTCTCTCTTCTAAGACAATACGATAGTCAAACAAATGTAAAGGTGGTGAGGACAGAAAATAAAATAACTGAAAAGGTCTTTTTTACTCAGTGTGGTGAAAGGGGATATTATACAAACAGATAGCTTTTTTTAGTGCACCTATTGTAGTCATGCCCACTCTTTGCTGAATGCATACCTATGAGATTGTGTGTGTGCAATAAAACCCTTAGTTTATTAAGCATTTTTTTATATTCTGCTATGTCAGTCTAAATTCACTTTGAAGGCAGGAATGATGGAATTGTTCAATATATTGTGTGCACAAGGTTGTGACCTCTGCAATCGGACCCTGAAACACCACTGTCTGCTTACTATTGGGGCAGCTGAAATGAATGATGAGGTAGCCTCATAAAACATTGTACTAAATCTGAGGCCTCTGAATATGCAGTACTTGAGCATTTCGGTATTCTAACTTCCAAAATATTTACAATCTCTATAGGACTTAAAAAAATGAAAATTGAATATACTGTTTTTACTGAACATCTTTTTTCTAAACAAGGTCTTAATCCTGCCAGAGCTCAAATGGGTGAATGGCCTTGTTCTTGTAAAAAAATGCGCTAGTGATTTCTGCATCCATTTGTGTTTGTGTCTTGCAAGAGACATCCTGGGATTGTTATTGTGTCATCCAGCAGGAAGGCAAGGTACATCTGCCTGAGTGCTGTGGAGGACATGTCTCTACAATGAGGCACATCCTAACTGGGGGAGGAGAGGGGAATGCTTTTGTTTTAAAAGAGGGACAGAACACCCTCAACAATAAATCTGAGACCCCAAATACCCTGCTCTTCACATAAGATTCTCTGTTTGAAGATCGACCCAGCCAAGCTGGAACATCCAGTGTAAAGCTGTCATCACTGTATTTCCACACTTACTGAACTTACTGTCTTTGTTCTCTGTAACAGGTGCAACTAGAATTTTATCAGCCACTACAACGATCTTTTCCTTTCATCAGCTTTGTGGCAGCAGCTCTGCTTCCCTTCTGTGCTGTTACTAGCAGGGTAGCTCAAAATAATTGTTTCTTTTCCACACACAACAAAGACCTGTACAGCTTCAGCAGGGCCCATGAAATGGGAATCAACAAACAGTCCAGTTGCTGAAGTTTATCATTGGTGCCTCTTATTCTGCAAAACATTTAAGCACCACACTTTTACTAAAGCTGCTGTGAATATTCATTCAGTGCTCAGAGGTGAACACAGTTCATCAGACCCCTGTATTAACACCACAGCTTTAACTCACTTACAGAACTTGAAAACTTTCCCAGCAGGGTCCTTTGAACAGATGTAATTTATATAATACTTTAAAAAAAATAAAGCTTTATTTATTCCTACCTTGCAGGTACAGGGCCTTGAGGAAAATGTGTTTGCATGGTGAAAGGCCAAGCTTAACCACTCCATGCTCCACGAAAGGAAAGCTGTCACCGAGTTGGAAAAAGCCAGGCTGTCCCACTCACAAAATGTTGTCTTTGTTCTCTACATGAATCAATTTGTATCTGCTGATAACCCACTTCTTTCCAAGGATTTCAGGTTTAGGATTGCCTTTGATGCCAGACTCACTGCTGGAAACAGTAAACCACTCTAACTTTGATGGAACTAAAATTATTCCCTCTAGTCAGCTATTTGATTGTTTCTGCTAAAAATCTTATGTCACCATTTCATTTTAGGTAGGTTCCCCTCCATCCTTTCTGATTTAAACCATGCCAGTCAAAATTTGAAAATCAGCCCAAGAGGCATGTAATGTTTTCATATAAAATATGCATAAATTCATCCTTCCCTATAACATGTATGACTAAAATTACATCAGTGACCCCAGCAACCATTTTTCCTTTCATCACCTCCCTCTCCAGCGCCTCTGTTTCCCATCTGTGCTCTCCCCAGCAGCGCAGCTGTGGTGCCTCTGACAGAGTCACGGGAGCACAGGAACCACCATGCCCAGGGCTAGAGGTGTCTTGGTCTGAGCACGTGTTGGTGCCAACACTTGTGAGGGTTTCAGCCTGTCTGGGGCACAGGAGGGGAGCTCAGCCTGGTAATGGTAACCTAAGCTACCAGCAGCAGGGAGGCATCTGTGGTGTGCTGTGCTTCGAGCAGCGCTCAGAGCCTGTGCCACTGCCTGACACTGACTGATTAAGATCCAGGTACTGCGGTGCTGTCAGCAAAGAAGAAAGAGGACTTGCCGTGCTCTTGTTGCTCGTGGATCTCCAGCAGGGCAGCAGCCAGACACCAGTGCACAGCAGCCTCGTGCTCTTCCTCCTCTTCAGAGAATTACTTTCCAGTCAGCCTGAGGAGATGAAGAACACACCTGGTTTTTAAGACAGCCTGTCCCTCCACACAGACTCCAAAGTCTGTGTATCACAGGTGATCAATTCCTCATGACTGGGGAGGGGACTGTGGGAGGAGATGAGGGAGATGTGAGAAGAACAAACCTATGAAGTCAATAATGGGCCTTACCAGGAAACCATTGACTGCAGCAAACAAGACCAGGTCCTAACAGAGAAAGAAACAGACCTACCTAGTTATGCTGCAAATATAGATATAATCTTCCTTTTCTCCACAGCTTTTACTTGCCATCTGTAGAAACCAGACATTCAAATTTCTCCCTGATTCCAATTTTCAGGGTATCCCCAAAGCCCAGACTACACTACTAGTGGGAATGGAGAAAAGGATTACTTTGCCAGACAGCCTAAGACATGGGACTAGAGTTTTAATTTTATTTAGTTTAATTCTCAGGGCTTTCCCCGGTACAAAAATGCAGGGTTTCCCAATGTACCTTTTCATCTCATCTCACAGATGATGAAATAATCATTTCCCTTCGCTCTGAGGGTGATGTGAAGCCCTCAAAAAGACTAACATATGTGGTGTCCGGACATGGGGACACTCTTGAGCTCAGGCTTACATTTTTGGCCTTCTGGAGTCACTTCTCCATACAGCCCATGCAGATAGGAAGGCAAGAAGGAATATAGAACATCCCAGAGAAATCTCTGCAGACCTGACATTCTCTTACTCATTTGTGTGCCAAACCAGGCATGTTTCTGTCAACTGTTTGGTGGCAGAATTGTCCTTGTCCTCTACAAAGCAGAGGAAACTGGAAAGATTCTGGTCTTCCTTCCACCACAGAGGAGGCAACCTGGCTTCCAGGAGCCTCTGTTCTCTACAACAACCACACTCTCTTCATCTTGGCTTTCTTAATAAGTATTCAGAGGGCAGTTCACGTTTTCCCTTCTGCTCTTTGTAACAGAGCTGATTATTGCTAAGGTCAGGTGGCTCCATGAGCTAATTAATATTCACAGGTAGCAGTAAGAAATAAGTACAAACCTCATCTCTCTCCTCAGCTTTAATTACAATATCAATGCTATCAAATTCCATGTGGATACATCTCCCGCATCAACTCCAAACAATTTCAGATGTGTATACAGGATTCACAGCATCTTTAACTCATGATCTTCTGTCATTACCATGTAATTACTCTAATGCATCTTTACTGTGCAACGCCCTCCAGAAGTAACAACCGTGGAGTGCCTCGTGTAATGACAGAATAGAGACATCAGTGTGGAATCTCTGCTTACAGGGACATGCAGTATTCCTTCCAGTCCCACTATTCAACATTTCTGAGCAACCTGACTCCTACCTGCCTCCCTTCCTTCTCTAAATTTACTTCATGAAACATTCATGTCATTCTAGCACTGAGAAGCCCCAGGTGGCACTGAAATCCCTGTGGGAATGTAGCACAAGTCAATGAAGTGGCAATAAATTGTTTCACCTTGATCAGCTCTGTGGATTCAGGAGAGGAATAGAGGAAGGTGAGCCAGGGAAGAGCAGCTGTATTATGCACCTTGCTGGGCTATGGGTGAGGATCTGGGCCTTGTGTAGACATGGGAAAAGAGGTTTAGAGAAATTTGACAAAAAATGCAATACTGACTACTTAAGTTTGCAAATATCCCCCAATTAAGCGCTGGTGGAGGTCAGATACAAAATCAGTTAGAGAGAACTGGGCAAGCTTCAAAGGGTCTTTGTGGCAAAAAGCTGAAGGATGAGACAGTGCAATAACCTGTGAAATGACAAGCCATGGAGATGATTTTAGCCTTTCATTTCTACCACTATAGAAAATGAAGAACAAAGTACACATTATAAAGACATAAAATGGGATGAATTTTTGAACCTGTGTAAGGATTTTTAAAGAACTAGCTGCAGACATATCTCACAATGCTCTATGCAAAGTATTCCTGTGCCTTTGCAGAGATTTACAAAACTCTCTCAGTATATCAATCCCATCAGTCCTTTTACTTTTCTTAAATGGCAATCATTTTAAACTGAATAATAGCATCTATGTTTGTTGCATTTGGCTTTCTATGTGATAACAGTCACTATGATTAAAACATATGTTTTCAAGACTTGAAAAGACAGTTAAACAGGAATGGCATTACATTGTCACCTATCCAAATTGTAATTGGTATTTAATTGTAGCTCTGCAAGCAAACACAAAAAGACAAACAACAAAGAAACCTCTGCTCTGATTGAAAGCAATTAAGAGAGGAAAACCCAAGAGAGCTAATATATGAAGTTTCAGGGAGGAAGTATTCTTTCCCTGAAATGCAAAGGCCCTTCTTGAATCTGAGAGAGGTAAAGCATGGGAATAGTGCAGCTGTTTCTGGGAAGTTGCCTTTTGAGTGGAAATGGAAATTAAAAGCTGCCAGGCAGATTTTTATCTCTCTTGTCAAATTTATATTGTGTATGTTTGCTGATGTTCTATAATATCCCAGTTAGCTCTGTTGTTTGCATATTAACTGTTTTGTGTCCCAGATGCTCATACAAGAATCATATTTTGTGAAAGATATAACCATCACTTTCAACAGTATAATTTTTTTTCCCTAAACAGCTTTCCCTCTGTTCTTGCAGAAGACTTGAAGAATCCCTGAAGAACTACTTTAGGACGGGCTTTTTCACCATGAGCTGGTAGGGACACGCAGGAAGCCATTCCTGAGAAAAAGGACTTTCACAACAATCACTGCACATCTAAACCCAGTGAGTTTGCCTTTGGGGCTACACTGATCCCAGCCATGGAGAGATGGAGCTGAGGCAGGTTCAGGGGAGCTGGAATCCAACACGTTCTGAGTGCCTGGATCCACGCCTTGGCTCTCCCAGGGATACCTGAGTGACAGTGAGGGTGTTGTGTAGTTCACTCATGGAATATGCAGAGCTGACACATGGAACTGGACAGAGATCTTGACAATGGATAAGGTTTGTGGTTTCACAGGGTGTCATCTCTAATTACCAGGAAGGTTCCCTGGTTCAGTTCCAGAATGGAAAAGGAAAATATTTTTATCTACTTTAACACCACACTGGCACTGTCAGATGATTCATAGGCTCTAGAGAACACAGACATTACCAGCTCAGCACATTTGTGTACCAATCACCATTTGTCATATGTGAGTACTTCCCACAGTCCTAAAAAGGGATTTGTTTTCTGTATTATTTGCAGGAAATGTAACAAACTCCACACTGAATAGCAAAACAAAAACAGCACTTGATTGTTTTATCGAATAGTTGCCTATTTACTTGGCAAAACTTCACTTTAGGATTTTTTTATGCTGTCTAATAAAAGGACCCCCACAGCTGTCTTCTCTGTGGAGAAAAGCTGTCGACAACCAGTATAATTTTCTGCATATTGAGTGAAGTACTTGAAAGTCCCAGATCCATTTTAATATGTGAGCAGCACTCCCATTTGTATGCAGCTGGAGAGAGTAGTTTTATCCTCATTTTAAAAAGCCATATGATAGATTTCTTTCTTTAAACAAATACTGTCTGAAACTTTGCTTTCTTCTCACTCTTTCCCCCAGCATACACCTTTCCTCTCTTGTTAGGCACCAGTGTGCTGAAATCACTGTGCACTGCTGACATCTCACTCGTTATACATAAAATGATGCCAGCACCATTTCTTTTTTGATGTCTCTGTGCATGGTCTTCTGGAATAATTCCCAGATTAACTCTTTATTAATATAATTTTGGCAAAACAGTTGGTGAGGAAATTCCATTACACTGCCTTGAATAAGGTCTTCATTATTCTCTGAATTTTCTGATTCTGGATATTGACAGTTTCCAATCCTTCCAAGCCAATCCTGGTCTGAGCTCTCTCCAGCCCTGATCCTGCAAGAACTTTGCCACACAGCACTAGGCAGTGCTGCTCAGTCCTTGCACAGCTATTAACTCTGATGCAATGAAATGTTGTTGTTATGGGTTGCAGGGAGCATGTTTAACATCCACAGCTATTTTTAATGATTCTGTCAAAAGGAAGGATTATAGCTCTGAAAGCACAGGGAGGTTTTGTGTAACAGTCACAAAGCTTTGAACTCTGCACACACCATGACTGAACATACTGTTCATGTGCTTCAACACAGCCTGACACTGCAAAAGTCATGGTTGAAAAACAAGATATCTGAAGGTTACAGGGCATTTCATGGCTCTAGTGTAAACAATAAAGCACCAAGGATTAAGTGCCAAACATGATCAACCTCCCTGTCTGGATATGTCACATCTCCCAGGCTGAGAATGACTCACTCAAATAACCTCAGATGGCAAACCCCCAGGCAGGCAGGTTTGGAGTGATGCTACCAATTCAGCATGGAGCATGCGGTTCAAGGAGCAGGCACTGAGTAATTCCCCACAGAGTGCTTGGAGATGCTTTCACCCAAATTCAAGATTTCTGCTCCACATTTTTGTTGTGAATGAAAATAAAATAGTAGATTCTCAAATTTTGCAATGGAATTAAAATTCTGAAAATTTTACATTGGAAAAAAGAAGATTGTTTTATTGCTGATCATTTTGTCTTAAACAAATGAAGCCAACTGTAAAAATCTTGGATGAACCTGGAAACAGGAACCCTTATGAAAGCAGCAGAACTGAAAGCCTCAAGGTTCCTGGGATTGCTTGATTCTCACCTACCAACACAGACATATGGACATTCACTTTAACCAACAATATTGGAATTTACAGTGACCACTGCTGGAGGAGCAAAAGAATGAAGCACTACTGAGGAAGCTTTCCTAGGGCTTCCAGGTTACCACCTCCACTGGCTGGGAGTTGGGGTAGGAATTAAGGTATCCAAATTTTTGAAGAAAGGAGTCAAAGCTGCAGGAGCTCCAACTTGGGTCAGAGATCTCAAAAATTCAGGGTTTCCAACTCTACCAAAGATAGCTGGAAGATATGTGAGCTTCTAGGTTCAGCTCCTAGCTGAGCTTGAGAAAACTTGCTCAGTGCCCTGGAGTTGGAGGAAGGCCATACAAAACCCAACAGAAAAGCTCAGAGACCCGTAGAATTTCCTGTGATATATTTTTGATCTCAGTAACTCAGCATTTTCTAATGAAGTAGTGCTTACTGGAAAGTTTCTGCCTATTTCCATTTGGGAAGACATTATTCAGATGGACATGACACATTTTGGATGACATGAGAGAATTAAGTTTGGTCTTCTTGCCAAATTCCATCCTGGCAGATAATTTCTTACCTATTTAAATCCACCTCATATTAACAGAGGACATTTTTTTAGCTCTCATTCTGTCTTGCAGCTTTTGTACTGTTAAATATTATCCACGTTTCATCTCCCATGTAGTTGCTTTTCACCAAATTTAGTTCCAGGTTAGAGTATGGATCTGTAAATGGGACTGGGAGCTCTGGGGGTCTCTAAAAACACCTGTGCTACTGCACGAACATCAGTGCCATAGAAGGATTATTTTTAGTACTGGAGAAGTTTTTGCAGAGCAGGGTGTGATCCTACACAGAATTGAACCAGTCTGATGTCAAATTATTTTATGCCATTATGGCACATGACTGCTTTACAAAGTAGCTCTTGTATTTTTCTATCTCCTCAGGAACATTTATTCCTACAATGGGGATCCTGCATTGATTCCAATGAAGACCCGGGCCCCTATTGTGCTAGGCACTATAGCAACAGACAGTAAAAGGCAGTCCTTGTTCCTAAAGACCTTTCTATCTAAACAGACAAAACATTGCCAGAGATTTATTCTTCCATTTATAACAGTTACAAAACAACTTGGATGAAGAATAAAAAATGCAATGATTAGGACGTGATGATCCCAGCTGTGGGATGGATCCATATGGAGGTGGGAAGCCCCAGGCCAGTGAAAGCATCGAGGGGTATAATCCTGAACCAGCTGCAGGAACGTGAGAACTCCTGCAGACTCTCCTGGGAGCCAGGATTCCCCTCTGTTCCCATTTCACCAGGTGCCTGCATGCATAACACAATGCAGAGCTGAAGTGATATTTCCAAATTCCCTGGCACTACAAGCAGAGCTGCAGCATGGTCCCACTGCTCCTGTCAGGGGGATGAGCCTGGGCAGAGCCTGCTACTGTCACTGTGCCTGTGATGCCACGGTGCTGAGTGAGCACAGGCACAGCCCTGCTGCAGGGCTTCCTGCAGAGCTGCCTCGGGACACCTCACTGGGAGAGGGCTCCCGAGCTGCCCAGGTCACTGCTCTGTCACCAAATCACTGACCTGCCACAGACAGTAAACTGAATGAGTAATTATGGTCTGCAACACTCCAGGGTCTCCAGTGCAGGGGCTATTCAGGTGACAGTGAACTCCCTGAACAGACTGTGTTTCTTGCTGCAAATCCTCTCTCTAAGGGATACAGACTAAAAATATTCCTGAGGTACGGCTCGTAAACAGACATATTCCCTGTTCTGGTCTTGCTGATGTTCTGTGCTGTTACTTACTTAAATTGCATAGCGCCAATAGGAGACTCTGGTAACTTATTTCTTTTCTTTTGGAAGCGATGCAATGCACAATAAAGCAGAGGTGGTAATGATTTAAAAGATGCAGGTCTCTTTTCTGGACATTCTGACTATGAATATAATATAATAGAGGTTAGAGTGATGCTTGTTTTTACCCCTGAGTCTATCATAAGATTAACCGTCTATTATTTTGCAGAACAAGCAGTAGCGCCTCATCAAGGGTATAATCACCTCAGTCAAAAAACAAACAAGCTTTTACTTAAGGTGCTAAAAATATAGTTGAGAAACCTTCGATCTCAAGACGTGTGATAAAACAGACTGTGTTGACTGAGCAAATCAGCAGCTGCTGCTGTGCCGGCTCCTTCACCCTAACAATGCTTGCCTTTTTCTCTCCCCACCAAATTTAGAGATGATGTCAGTGTAGCCAACCCCAGGAGTTCAAAAATCAGAAGACAAACCAAAATAGAATCATAGCATTGATATCAAAGCCATGGAAGTTATTGAAACTGAAGCGGATGATTTGGGGGGTCAGCCTTTAGAGTTTTTAATTCATAGCAGACAGCCTTCTCCCTTCCAGTGTCTGCTCAGTTCTCCTCCCTGTCTGATATGCCCTATTTCAGAGTGAGAGACAACACAGGACAATGGGAAGCACAAAGGATTGGGAATCTATTTAAAGGATATATAAAGCTCGATTTTCCACCGTATGGAGAGCCTTAATCCTGCAAATACCTTCCCTGAACGCTCAGCTTCATTCATACAAGCAGCCCCATGGAAGCCAGTGGGGGTCCTCTTGTACCTGAAGTTTGCCCCTTATTACTATTGCACGTCAGAAATGTTGGCCTGCATCACAATATTAAGAATCAGCTAAGGATGAAGTTTTCTCTGTGATCTTGGGCAAGTCTTGATTCATTCTACGTCCCATCTTCCTGCTCTTTATATGGGATAGAATTTATCTCTACAAGGAACTTGGAAGCCTCCAGACAAAAGATAATAAATGCAGAAAATTCATACATTGTCTCTTTCTGATGTAAATTGATTTCTTGATAACACAGCTGGAAAGAATGCTTAAAAATCAAAAGTACGTCATAATTAAATCTCCTAATAAAACCAAACTCTTAGAAATGGACTTAATCCACCATGGACCAACAGGAAAACAGATTTCAACAGGAAAACAGAACCCTCTTCTCAAAAGACCAGTTCCTGGGACCCAGAAACTTGCTTGATAAACTCATACAGGAGTTTATCAAGATGTAAATCTTTAGTTTAATCTTTTTTCCACCCAAAATATCAAATTCCTCTGAAATTTAAATTTAAATGATTGATTCTATTTTAAAGTTTAGTCTGAATGTAAAGCCCAATATTTTGAAGCAGCAGCAGCATGTTACAATGCAACAGTTTGTTGGGAAAGTACTCACTTAAAATAATGGGAGACTTTCATCTTTTATTAAACATTTGAAATTACTAAAAGATACTACCTTAGAGTTGCTTAATTTAAAGAGGCAAACTGATGCATTTTGTTAATTAGACCATTAAAAAACTCATTTATGTGTAAATAAGTCTAGGTCATTAAATCATAATGTACAGTGTCAACATGAAATTTCAAACTTTCTAGTTATGTTAAATAGCCCTAAAAATTAATTAAAAATAGAATCAGCATCAAAGAATGTATTTCCCTCTCCTATTTTTAAAGAAAAAAGACGTATTTTTAGCAATAAAAAAATGCTATTTCTGCTCAGTCCTCCAGTCACACATTCTCTTTTTCTACAAGACATTGTTTAAACTTAGAAGTACAGCACCTATGTGTTGATATCAATTATCTTTTTGAATATTTTTAAAACACAACAGAAAAATAGCTAGCACTGATGTTGTCACTAATTTTCATTATATCAAGAACAGGTTATTCCAGTGAAATCACATATTGAAAATTAGCAGCATAACAAGGCATGATGAGTCAAAAATGTTATTTGGCACAGCCGAAAAGGCAAGGCTAAAAGTTTGTCTTCTGTTAAGGTTTGTGAGTATTACAGTTCCAAAGTCATATGCTCAATTGCTCATAGCTTTATGACAAAAGATGTATTTAGATTGAAAACCTCTAGGAAATTTCCAAGATTCTCAGGCTGATTTTAGAAAACATCAGGAAAAAAAAGTAAAAAACATTTCTGAAAGTTCAGCTGTTTCCAGGAACAGAATAACAGCTGTCCCATTTTTTTCCAGGGAGATACTGGCAGAAGTTGTTGCCAAGACACTGAAGACAGAATTGAGAGGACCTGGAACTGGGCAGTAGAACGCAGGAGAGAAAGGGACTGATTGATGAGTTTGATGCTGCAAGAGAAGCCTGTGCATCCTGGACAGCTGAACAAAATGAGACAGAACTGGGGCAGAAAAGGGCACAGGAGGAAATGGTGGGATGGAAGAGACACCACAGAGAACAGCAGAGAGTGCAGCCTGGGGAAAAGGCCTGTGCCAATCCAGTCTGGAGAGCAAATCCCAAGGATTTCAGAATCCCAACCCTCACGTAAAAGCAATCAGTAATTATCATTTCCATACCCACAGGTTACAAATTCAAACATAAAAAACTAATTGCATCTGCACAATACAACAGTTTTGTAAGGGTTGAGTTCATCAATGCTTTTGCTTTTTTCCCTGGTAAACATTTAAAACCATTTATTTAAATTGATAAAAAATAACTGAATGTTTTGAATACATTAAGGTTTCTACCACTTTAGGTATACTTGTTCTTACTGACTTTCTGCAATATCAGCAATGTATAGAAATTCTTGATCTATCAAGGTGGCATCAGAGTGGATAATAACAGGCAATTATTCTTACGAAGACCTTGCACTTCTTCTAAGACTTAAAATTAAGCTAATTATATAAAATAATACATTGAAATCACTAAATATTCTTCTGACATACACAATCAAGTTTGTTATACTGAATACATTTGGTTTTACTAAGAGGTTTTCATCTGTAATGGTATACACATCCTCTGAATGCATTCATTAATTATAAAAAATTCTGTAAACTTTCTGGATTATTTCTGTCTTGAAATTCTCTTAGTGTTCAGAAATGTACAGAAAGAACCAAATAAATATTTTATTCTGTTGTGACTTGTCCAATTATCTGGTGGGGCATTATGAGTGACAGACTACAATCAGTAGTCTGAAATGGTTGAATTTCACACTGCTTTGATGTTTTCGTAAGTGGCTTTCTGACAAATTGTACTAGATGTACAAAATCCCATATGGAGTCTGCTGGATTATATGATCTTGCTTTACAATTTATCCAAAAGAATATTTTGCTAAGGCAGTTTAATTCCTTGTTAAATTGGAAACAACAATGATGCTACTGATCCATTTACACACCAAGTTCTTTCTTATTTAGAACACTGTGGAGCACTTAAATTGAAAGTCTTTGTTCTCCTTGGACAGGTGAAGATTGATTCCAGTGGTCTCCCAAACAGACAAAAACTCAGGATAGTTGAGATTGACAACATTTCATTGGTATGAGCAAGAGAAGAGTCAGATTCTTTGCCAAGCTGTACGACTATGGAGCACCATCCTAATATTTCTAGCTCTCTTCCCACTTCACTATTGATATTGTGACAGGATTTGTAATACCATTAGGCTGTGTTGCCAAGAGCAATTCTTTTAAAGAGTGTGACACTGAATATAGGCTCTGGCAAATGATGCCTTCAGTTAGAAAGTATTAACGTGACAGAACTCTTCCCAAACCTTTTACAGAGAATATGTCTTGACCAAAAAGTGACAAAAGAGAAAATAGTGCTTAAACCTGTGCAACACTGCATTGAGACAGAAAAATCTCTGTTGAAAATGCCTTTTTGTGCAAGAATTGATCTCACTGTCATTTTTAGTAATGTAAATCACAAAGAACCATTGAAATCAGTGGGAACTACAGCAGTATAAATCAGGTGTCATGAATAACAAAGTTGTAAGATATTGTTATTGGGTCACTTAGTTCTGCTCCATAGTTTTATTTTAGCTCTAACATTTATCAGCTTTGCTTGTCCATACCAACTCTTACAATCGAAGTATTTTCTGCAGTTTGGCAACAATGGGTATTCTTGACTGGGTATTCACAGAGCAAGTAATAGAGAATTTGTCATAATGGGTCCATCTTCTGTTCTACAGCTCCTCTCATAGTTTATGTGTCTAGTTTATATACCCACAAAATATCTAACTGACTTTAAAATGACAGTAGGAAAAAGAAAGGAGTGTTCCATTTATATAATATTTCTCTGACACATGAGATTTGATCATCTGCATTATCACAGCCGCAAATAGGGTTAGCAAACACATCAAACACTTTACCCAGCCCCATTGCATACAGACAGGTTATCTGCCATGGAAATTTCAATATTTTCTGCATAAAAAATTTTCTTTCATTTGTTCTAAATTCATTGGTCTTTAATAACATGATGCATTTATTGCAGTGATCAGGGAAAAAAAAAAAAAAAAAAAAAAAAAAATAGAATATACCCAAATCACTGTTCCTATTCTTCCCCCCAAAAATACCATTTTAGGATGAGAACCTCCATGGTATGAAGTGGTAAATGATCCAGAGGAGTGTCATTTTATAACTTCTGAATTATAGTCTTTGAGATGGTCTGTATGTAAATCTTACTGTACATCTCATGGGCTCTGTCACCTTTTTATGAGCATTCACAGTCAGTCTATACATCAGTTGTCTTGACCAAAATTTTGAGTAACTCTTATAAAAAATAGAAACACAGCTCTTGAAAATGAGCACTGTCATAACATCAGGATGTCATGAAAGCAGAATAAAATAAATGCAATCTTTCAGACTTCTAGGTATTATACTGTCCTCACTAGAAACTCAGCTCTCTTTGCTGGGTTTTTTTTTTTTTTCCTGTTTTTTGGGGTTTTTTTGTGGGGGTGGAGGGGAATGTGGTGGTTTGATTTTTCCCCCTGTTTCTTTGTTAGTTAAAGAGTACCCCAGAAATACACAGTGCTATTTTCCTGGGGTTTTGTTCCTCTAGAAACAATTTTATCTAGTAATAATTTACACTCTCTAAAAATACATCTCCAGTTGTGATCCAGTTTCTATTATAATGCTGCTAATTTATGGAATTAGCATCACTACAGATGAAATTTATAATGCTGTATGTGATTATTGCTTCATTAATCACTATGTATTCCACTAGCAGTATGTGAGATCATTAATACAGTATATGTATAAACATTAAGCTTAATGGAGTTAAATGATGATATGGAAAGGCAGGATGGCTAATTAATGATCACACAAACAATTAGTACTCTTTTTTACTTAATTCACAAGCTGTTCTATGAGGGACTCCAGCCTTGCAGGGCAAAATCTCCTAATTACAAATAAGCTAGGGACTTGTGAAAGCACAGAATACCTCTTAACCTTCTGTTAGTATAGATTGGTTTTAAGCTTCTCAGCAAGATTTTTCCTGGTCAGAAGGTAATTTAAAAGAAAACCCCTTCTACTATCTTTCTTGGTCACCTTTAAGATGGGACCTAGTCAAGTTTTACATTTAAGAGACACTTAATGAAACAGGCTTAAATGGTTCTTAATTGGTTCATGTGAAATGTCTGTGTTGGTACTTAGTGCAGTACTGAATTTCACACTAAAGGCTTATTTCTAGTAGCCCTTAACTCATGCTGAGTATACCTCTCTCCCTTGTGCATAGTCTCATCATAGACTGATATTGCCAGAATAATTGTCTTTCTCTGTTGTACAATTCTAAATCTTTCTCTGTAGTTTTTAGAAAAGCACAAAATATCTTTTTTTCTAGATCTAAATCTTTGGATTGATTAAATTAATTCTAACTTAATTCTACTATAGGACAAGCTATAAGAGCATCTGTGTGAATTAAAAACCTTACATTCACTATTTCCATCTTACATATAGGCTTTAAAATAGCAACTTGTGTCCTCTCAAATGCTATGGTTCCGTCCTGTTAGAGGAAGACCTGTTGAGAGGCATAGAATTTCAAACAGTCCCTGTCTCAAAATGATCAATGAACCCACAGAGAATTCTATGGTAAAAGTTACTTTGGAAGTTGTCATTAAGTACCATCGTCTCCTTTTAATACAAGACAATGTCCATTATAACCAAAATATTGGGTGATCCATCCATTCAGCAATCTTCTTGCAAATCACCTTTACTAGTTAATACCAAGAACCAAATTAATTAAATTTAAAACATTGAGTAGCTCTGGAGTTTCACATATGAGTACATTTAAATATCCTAATGATTCATCATTCAGTGCTTTTCATTAACTGAAAATGGCTCAATAACTTCCATTACCTAGAAAAGTCCAATAATAATTTTAGGGCTTTGCAAGACAGTGCATCTCTCATTATGTGCTCTGTAGGAACACATAATGAGAGATACAACTCTGAGGTGTCTAGTGATGTAAAATTACCTTAAACATCTTCATCAAACCTTGAGTTTCATTAATGGGGTACTACTGAGTAATCCAGGCAACTGGCTTGGTCAAATAATGACTTCCACAATTAAAACAAAAACATCTGGATCATGCTATTCAAAATAATTCCAGGAAGATATATTAAGCATAATATAGTAAGCATATACTCAGAACACCTGGAAAGTGTTGATTTTCTACTGCCCCTTGGGCACAAATCAACTGGCAGCCAAAATACTAGTAATTAAATTTTTTTTTCATAATTTTTAATAATTTATGGGTTGTTATGGAGTTTTTCAAACTGCCTCGCATACTAAGCACAAATGTTTAAAAATGTTTTAAAAACCTTCCTATGTTTTCCAGGGACTTCTTCTGCAGATGCTCTTGCTGCAGAAGGTTAATTTGGTAAACTAAAAATAGCAGCAATTAAGTTGTATTCCACAACTTATGGACAAAAAGAAAACAATGTAACAAAACCAAACATGAGAATTAGGTTATGGAACTGTGTTGGGGACTGCTACTTGACTGCACCTGTAAACATATAAATAAAATACAAATATATAGAATAAAAACAGTGTGTTATTTACTATTGATTTCCAAGGCAGTGATGATAACAATGATAACTGTGATTTGAAATGCTTTTCATTATTTGAGTAAAGTTAAAATAACTACTTTATGGTCATTCTTCTACCAATTCACTAACTGATTTGAACAAATTTCATTTCAATATGAACCTTGTCATTTGATATATGCCATAGAGAGGAAGAAGTGAAAGAGTTGAGGAAATATAAATGTCTCATTTTGAAGAATTATAACTCGCTCTTCTAGCAGAATGTGTCATGATTAAGGAGCAATGATTACTTTGAACCATTACTCTGTGTGCTCATCTGCCAGCAGAGATTTAAGGCACTTTCATGTCATACAATGGTAAATTATTCTGGCAATTCTATTAGTGTTTTATTTCCCACATAACTCCACTACATTCTAGGAGAAATGGTTCTTCTCATTTTGAACAAATCTAAGCACTCTTGTGTGGTTTACTTGATTGAATATGATAGTCTATTATTTAAAAAAACGACTGAGAATTTTTAATCAGGTAATCATTGACCCAACTGACTTAAATGCTTCAGACAGAGTTGTTAATGTCTGCTAGGTCATGGCAAATGCTCTGCATGTGCTATTAACTCATAAACTAAACTCTCTTTGAATATACTTAAAACCTATTAGGAAAATGAAAAAAATTCCTTTCCTGGGGAATTCCAAGCTGATATCTTACATCTAATTCACTCCATTATGCAAAAAAAGAAAACCTGAATGCTCCCACATGAGACTTAAATAGAGTGATATCACAGGAGAGAGCTGAGGAGCTGAGTAACTCACTATGGAAATTGCACCTGGTTTAAACTCATTCTGTGCTGAAGACAACTGAAACTGGTTGAGGTGTTGAAGGTATTAAAAGAAATTACTGTGGGATATGGGAGTATAGAAAGCACATTCCCATCATGTCTATGTATGATTCAAATATCCCATGCCACAATTCATGAAAATTGTCCCTTTTTATGTAACCACTCTATTGAGAAGAGATTGACTCCATCATCTTTGCAATTGCTCTTCAAGTGGCTGTAGGCAGCTATTAGAATCTTTTCCAGATTAAACAAGTGCAACTCCCTCAACCTG